AGAATATATGAAAGTTTCACTTTTTGAAATAAGTTACAAAAAGAACTTTTTCACGATATGCTAATTTTTTTAAATGCACCTGTATATAAATGTATTTTAGGTATATGTTAAGCCAGGTATATATTCGTTTAAAATAATATATTCTTATATATTATAAGGTATATATTCTTTTTTATTTATTTAGTGGTGAAATGTCCTGGACATTTCTAGACAGTTGTCAAGAGATTGACCCTAATAGTTTTGCTAGATTACATAATGTTTCCCTCCCTCTGTCATTCAACAGGCAGCAAGTTGGTTTGATCACATTTATTGTCTGTACAAAAACCACAAACAATATGGACACAGAAATCAGCACATGCCATTCACCAAGCCACAATCAGGTGACGGCAATCACAATCCTCCATCCAGTAAACTCACGAGTCCACAAGAATCATTTCCTACAGCCTCAGCCACAGTCAGAGCTTCACTGAGCTATTGAGTTCAGGCTGTCCTTCAGTCTGCGAGTCATGCTGGGCAGCAGGCTCAGGTGTTCGTCCACACAGCTGCCCACACAGCTGTCCATCAGCGCCCGCACGGCAGGCTCCTTCGCCCCGGAGTCAAACAGATCCTTGGCCTTGTCGTTACAGTGCATTGTACACCTCGTGAGACGATCCTGTCGTCGATGAATAAATGGTTAGTCTATATGACATTATTCCAGCTATAAGACTAAAAGTGAACGATGGCTGACAGAAGTCGACTGACCTGAAACTGCTGGAGTTCACTGGTGACCAGTCCTTGAGCTTTAGCCAGCGGTGTGTGGCAGCGGTCGATACACTGGTGCACCTGGTTCATGGAGTGGCCGGGATTCTCACAACACTCTGCGCTGCAGCGGAACATGCGGCCCTGAAGATCGAAAGAGCGTCATAAGCCATTACTTAATCAACCTTTGACTAATAAGTGGGCAAAAACTATGGCTTAAGTCAATATAGTAAATCAATAGAGAAAAAAAAAAACAGAATGAACAAAACAGATTACTGCACATCACCAGAAGCTGACCTGACATGTCAAATATCGACAGCAATGTTCTATAGTGTAACATGCTATACATACAATTATTTAAACTTTGCCAAAACATTTTAAAACTTTTTTTTCCCAATTCTTGTCTAAATATTACAGTTACAGGCAGTTTTAAGACTTCATATTAAGAGACTACATGTAACAAAAAATTACTATTTAAAAATAATAAAAATGTAAATGAATTAAGCAATTCATTGGATATTATAAAATTAAATAGTATAAATTAACTATATTAAAATTATATAAATGGTGATTAAAACAATTATAGACTGCCATTACAGTGTGGGGTCTGTAAGATTTTTTTGTTTTTGAAAGAAGTGTCTTATGTTCACCTCACCAAGACTGAGCTTATTTGATGAAACGGCTATATTGTGAACTATTATTACAATTTAAAATAATGTTTCTATTTGAATATATTTAAAAATGTAATTTATTCCAGTGATGGAAAAGCTGAATCTTCAGCATCATTACCCCAGTCTTCAGTGTCACGTG